TGCTCCGCAAAGGAGAAGCCACGGCAAAGAGCATCCCACGCACTGAAACTGGAGAGCAGCCCCCAGTCGCCACAACTAGAGAACAGCCCACGCAGCAACAAAGACCCCACACAACCAAAAATAATGATTTTAAAACAACTAGCAATAATAAAAAGAAGTGGGCTGAGTAGATCTGAAGGTAACTCCCTGGGTGTAGCAAGATGGCTTCAGCATGCTGTTTTCACCTCCATCACCACCTTTGATCTTGAGAACCACCCTGCAAGGTACAGCCAGCCCCTTGCAGAGCTGGGGAGACTGAGGCACGGGGGCCCTGCCAGGTCCGAACATGACCTCGGACCAGGTATCTTCCTGTCAACGCCCTCGTGCTCCCTTGAAACTTACCACACCTCCGAGGTATGTTCCAGTTTTTGCTTCACCCTCTGGTTATGTATGGTGCTAGTGGTGAAAGAACCCGCCTGTCAATGCAGGAGACTCAAGAGATAAGGAAATAGCAACCCCCTCCAGTATTCTTGCCTGGAGAATCCCGTGGGCAGAGGAGCCTGGCAGGCTGCAATCCATGGGGTCGCAGGGTTGGGCATGACTGAGCAACTAACACACCCCCTGCCGTCATCCTGGGACAGGGAAGAAGACCATCATCTAGTACCAACTAGCCCCTGCAGGGCTGACCTTCCCTGAGGGTGCAGTGGGGGTGCTGTGTGTTTTCTGGGGAGGCTAACAAAGCGGGAAGACATTTCTCATGAAGAGCTGGTGTTGACATTTGTGACTGCTCATAAAGCCAAGTTCCCCAGACGCACTGGTCCACTTAAGTCTCAAACCAGTGTGATGCCCAAGTCTAAGAGCTGCTGGGGGCTCAGGGGACATTTTCCCATACTGCTCTTTTGCAACTTCTTTGGCTTAGATTTTGATCAGTTGCTCTCCCAGATATTTGTAGAAATGTGTGCCCCCTCCAGCATAATCAGGTAGTTCATGATGATCAATCAGCATGGAGAAAGCAGAGGGAGAGTGAGGTGGCAGCCGGGAGGCCAATCAGAAGGCTGGGGCAGCCATCCACCTAAGACACGATGGGGACCACAACTGGGACAGGAGGAAGAGTAGAGGGTGGAGGCTGGAGCTGGTGTGGAGGGAAAATGCCAGGGTGTAGTACTGAGTGGAGGGAGGCGGGGGATCAAGGCTGTGTCTCGGGTTTCCAGCTTGAATAACTGGGTAGACAGTGGTTCTACTTGCTGAGATGCTGAACACAGGGAATGGAATAGAAGCGGTGAAGGGGCGGAAATGATGGTTTTTAGCTGGAAATGTATCGAGTTTAATGTGCAGGACTCTGGTTGGAACAAAGAGGAAGATTCAGGGATGGGGAATCATGTGTGGAAACCATGAGCACACATGAGCACTCCCAGGGATGCATGGATGGATGGATGGGTGGGTGGACAATTGGGAGACTGGGTGGGTGGATGGATGGAAGAAAAAATAGGTGAACAGATGGATGGATGTAGAAGTAGATTAGTGGGAGACTGGGTGGGTGAATGAATGGAAGAAAAGATAGATGGGTGAAGGCAACTGGAAGTATGTAGAAAAGCTGATTTGTGTAATGATCTCCAAAAATTTCTGATATAATTTGAATTTTTTTTAAATTAATACTCTGATACTAGTTTTGAGTTGAGGCTCATATATATCTAAATCTTAACATTGTCTTTCTATTTCCTTTTCATGTGAAACTTGTTAATTATGTATTATACAAATATTTTTCTCCTAGATGGACCTCGAAGGCGTGTTGCTAAGTGAATAACTCAAACAGAGAAACACATATACTGTATGATCTCACTTATATGTGGAATCTAAAACAAAAGTACCCACCAAGCTCATAGAAAAAAAAGGTCAGACTTATGGTTGCCAGAGGCATGGGGTACAGGAAGAGAAAACTGAATGAAAGCAGCTGAAAGTTATGAACTTCCAACTATAAGATAAATAAATACTAGGGATGAAATGTGTAATGATGACGATAGTTTACACTGCTGTATAATACACAGGAAAGTTGTTCAGAGAGCAGATCCCAAGAATTCTCATCCTAAGGAAAGTTTTTATTGTATCCATGTGAGATGATAGATGATAACTAAACTTACTACAGTGATTATTTTACAGTATATGTAAATCAAACCATCATGCTGTATACCTTAAACTTAGTGATGTATGTCAGTTATTTCTCAATAAAACTGTGAAAACTTGAAAAAAAAAGATAGATGGGTGAATAGATGGATGGAAGGATGAGTGGGAGACTGGGTGGGTGGCTGGATGGAAGGATAGATAGATGAGTGAATAGATGGTTAGACAGATGGGTGAATAGGTGGATGGACGGATGGATGAATGAGTGGATGGATGGATGGATGGATGGATGGATGGATGGATGGATGGATAGAAGGATGAGTGGGAGACTGAGTGGGTGGATGGATGAATGGATGAGTGAGAGACTGGATGGATGGGTGGATGAATAGATGGATGGATGGGTGGGAGGATGGATCGATAAATGAGTGGATGGATGGATGGATAAATAGAAGGATGAGTGAGAGACTGGGTGGGTGGATGGATAGAAGAAAAGATAGGTAGGTGGATGGATGGTCAGCTAGATGACAGACAGAAATCTAGATTTTATTCTATTTAGATTGAACCAGGTGGAATTGCTGTTTTAGTTGTTAAAAATGATCAAATATTTAATTTTTGCAGGCTGAAGCACTTGAGGGGGAAGGGTACTGATGTCTGCAATTTACTTTGAAATGCATCAACAAATCAGGAGGGTTAATGGATGGAGAGAGGGGTAGATGCTGTGATGAAGTGATTATGGTAAAAACGTTAACAGCAGAAGCCAGGCTGTGGGTGGACAGGTATTCAGTGTCAAATTCATCTTTGCTGTATGTTGGGAATTTCCATAATAAATTCAGGGGAAATGTTTTCCAATGGTCAAATGTTGACATTTTCGTGTGGTTTCACCGAGTGTTTACTCCTCATTTCGCCAAAAGATCCTTGCAGGTTTCCTTTCTGTGTCATCAACAGATCTGCCTTGCTGAGCCTCCTCTGGCCTTATTCTTCCCAGAATTGGGGGCTGGGGGCGGGGGTCATTGTCCCCCACACCACCCCCAAAGTTCAGGTTGAATTGCCCCAACGTGCTGATTACCGCCCCAAGTTCGCCGGTTTCTGGCTTGTAATAATTATAGATTTCCTCTGCGATTTGAGCGCATTGGTTGCCACGGCAACGGCGTAATAGCTCAACTGAAGCGCTGTCACGGTGATTTAGAACCAACCCGTCTCTCTTGCAGCCTCCGGTCTGGGCGACCCCACCTCCTTGCCGTCGTCATGGCAACTGATGAGCAGCATGTGATGGAAAGCTTTGGGCTCCCCCCACTCAACCTCCCCATCTTGTGACCATTGCCACGCCCTCTTCTGGGCCCCCCTGTGGACAGGCACTGACCCCAGCTTGGGCTGTAATGGGGAGGCTAGAGTAATCCCGCAGACCCCCTCCCATAGATGGGGGTCAGATGGACTGTAAGGACCAGGGCAGCCGCCCCTCCCCCTGGCCCCGGAGGTCTTGGAGATGACCTGGCGCCCCTCAGAGCCCCTCAAGGCTGTGGCCCCGACACGGGCTGTTTCTGCCGCCACCGTCCAGGGGAAGCCATTTAGTCTTCCGCAGCCTTGGGTTTGTGCTTTGTAGCTTCAGGAATTCCTGAGCTGGCTAGAGAAAAATCAAGAGAGAGGCTCCTGGAAGGGGTCAAGGCGACAAAAACAGCCTATTTCAGAAAGTCCTAGAGCAGGTGGTTCGTGTGGATCTTTTCCTTTCTGCTTCTGTGCGGAAATCTCTCTCCCTCTCTCTCTGAATCCATCTTTCCACCTCACGCGGGCTCTCTCCCTTTCCTCCTCCTCACCTTCTCATCCCTCTCCTCTAAGCGCTTGCTAGGAGCCAGCTGAGCGCATCCTTTTCCAAAGCTGCTTTGCTTCGCAGGCTCCCTGTTCCCCCTCCAGTATCTGAGCCAATGTTCTGGGGACAGCCTGGGAGTCTAGAGCATCCTCCCAAGGGGGGATCTGTTACCCGGCGGCGCCTCTTAGGATGAACCAGCTGACCGCGTCCCTGAAACTCTGCAGGATGGCATAGAGGAGGCATTGTAAGCAGGCAAGAGCTGGGCTTGCTGCAGGACCCTGACGACCGGGCACTGTGAGTGCAGACGTGTGTGTGTGTGTGTGTGCATGTATTTGCACGTATTGCATGTATCTGCTGACATATGGAGGTGTGTCACTGCTATCTGTGTAGCTGGTGTGTGAGTGTATACCCCGTGGCACATGGGCAAGTGTGCCTGTGGGTGACTTTCTATCTGAAGGACACACAAACCTGCATGACAGATTTTTCAAGGATATTTTGCGAAGAGAACGTGGCAGGATGAGCCCTCCTATTTTAATTATTTATTGAAATATAGTTGACTGGGTTTTTTTGATGTATGAGCCCCTTTCACATGATAACAAGATAAACAAAGATGGATGTTAAAATGCTAAGCAAGGAATTGAATTTGCATCAATAGGTTGGCAGAACCACTTCTTAATGCATCTGCCTTCTGGCCCTAGGAAATGAAGTGAGGGTCACCTTGAAGGGCGTTTTTGCTCAAGCCCCCAAAGAGATCCTTGCCTTTTGTCATAAGGGCTAAACAGCACACACGTGCACACACACATATACATACATACACGTACACACACACACAACTTCCTCTTTGAAACTCGAAGGCTCAGGGAGCCCCTTCAGGGCGTTTCGCTTTCTTCCTCCATGAGACAGAAGGAGTTTGCTTGCCATGTGGGGGGCTTATGACAAGGAGGTATGGGAAACTTTGGCTGGCAGCATGCTCGCAGTGTTCATTTCTGTGGTCGATTAGAAGTTCCTTTTGTATTTTTTGACCGAAGCAGCCCAGGCCTCAAGAGGGAAGCAGGTTGAGAAAGGGAGATTTGATTTCCAGGGCAAGATGTGGGAACCCTGGCAACTTGCCGCTTAAGATTGAGCAGTTGGTGCGTGAGGGCAGGCGGCCGCGTCGCCCCCTGGAAGGGAATTCTTTGTGCTTCTCCACTCCTGAGTGTTTGGGAGGCTTGGCGGCCAGTATCTGTGGGTGAACGCTGCTGGTGGGCTGGGCAGTGCCCTTGGCATCTTGAAGGAAAGAACAGATCCGAAGACAAGGAAGTTTCCAGTTCACGTAGGCACAGACCCTGCTTATTCAGCACCTCGACCTCGAGGCCTCGCTGCTACTTGTGATTCTGAGTCGCTGCCCTCATTCCCCTACGCCACGGCCTCTGTCTACAGAGGCCCCGCCACCCTGGCCCACCTGCCAAAGCTCTAATGACCTTTAAACATCCTCCGTCACTGCTTCTGGGAACCTCTTAGACCCAGGTAGACCTGATGCCCTACGTCCTCCTCGGCCGGCCCCCAAGTCCCCTGCACCTCTGGCATCAGGTACCCTGCAGACCGCTTTCTGCATTTACCCATGAGCTACAGTTAATTTTACAAGGAGTCAGAAAAATACGAAGACATTCAAAGTGGCCAGCCTGGACTCTTAAAATATCAGTGGCATGAAAGGCAAAATGGCTGAGAAATGGTCCCAGGTTAAAAAGAGATGAAAGAAAAAAATGAGAGAGAGAGAGAGAGGAAAGAGCCTGGCACAACCAAGTGCAGTGATGAGTGGTTCCCAGGGGAAGTTTGAAAAACAGAAAGAGCCGCCAGAAATGTTTTGGGAACAAATGGGGGAATTTGAATACAGAAAATATTTGATACTATTATGTAAAGAATCCGCCTCCCAGTTCAGGAGACACAGGTTCTATCCCTGGATTGGGAAGGTCCCCTGGAGAAGGAAATGACAACCCGCTCCAGTATTCTTGCCTGGGAAATCCCAGGCAGAGGAGCCTGGCAGGCTACAGTCCACGGGGTTGCAAAAAAGTCGGACATGACTTAGCAACTAAACAGCAACAAATTATGTCAATGGTGAATTTCCTGAAGGTGACATATCTGTATCTCGGGTCATTTGTACTGAAGTTCTATGAGACAAAGTCTTGTTTTCAGAATGTACAGGCCGGAGGATTTAGGGATGAAATATCATAGAATCTGCAAATACTTCTCAAAGAATTCAGAAGAGAGATAATCAGTACATAGACTGGTTGATAGATAGGATAGGTACGTATGTGGCTCACTGTTAACGGTTGGTGATTCTGCAATTACAGATGGTTGTTGAGCAACTTGTAACTTTTCTGTAGGTTTGAGACGGTTTGAAGCGCCACCACATGCTGGACATTCTGCCTAGCCCAATCCGTGGACTGCCTTATATAATGCGCAGAGCAGCCTCGGGATGGGGGAGCTCTGTCATACCCATTTTCCAGTTAAGAAAACAGAGGCGGAGCCAGATTCCAGCCCCAGCCAAAATCCACGCAATGCCACTGCTCTTCTGGGGAAATTACGAAGGGTAGCAGTCTTGCCCACTTTCAGTCTGAGTCTAAGTGACTTCACATCTTCACTATGGTGTAGAGGTTAAGAGCGCTGGATCTAGAGCCAGCCTGGATTTGTAGCCTGGCTTGTCTATTTAGTGGTTCTGTGTTTGGGGCAAATCACTTAACGTCTCTGTACCTCCATGTCTTTTTTGGTAAGAGAGGACGGTAATTGTAACTGCTTCAGAGAGCTGCTCTAAAAATTAAAAGCACTAGTATGTGTAAAAGCCTGAAACAGGGTTTGACCCAAAGCAAGTGACCCCTGGTGGCTCAGAAGGTAGAGAATCTGCCTGCACTGCAGGAGACCCGGGTTTCCATCCCTGAGTCGAGAAGATCCCCTGGAGAATGGAATAGCAACCCACTCCAGTATTCTGGCCTGGAGAGTCCCCTGGACAGAGGAGCCTGGCCAGCTACAGTCCATGGGGTCACAAAGAGTCGGACACAACTGAGCAACTAACACATACACACACACGTAAGTGATCCCAAATATCAACAATGTTTATTGTTGTTGCTGTTACTGTGATTCTTGTAACCCCAGCGTCCTTGCCTCAGCCAGTGATGATTAACCCTAGAGGGGTCTTTCTCTTCCACACCTAGGCCTGGCTTGCTTTCTAGACCCTAGCAGTCTCTGCAGAGATTTCAGGCTGGGGTGGGGGGTGTGGTAAGAGGTCATCTTATCCCACCTCTTCCTAGCAGAACTGCCCTCCATAACTCACCTGAGAACCAGTTACTCAGCGTGCCGTAAAGACCTCCAGGGAAACATACAGCGGTTGGGTTGGAGCCCATAAGCCCAGGAGTTCACCAGAGGCTGCAAAGCCCATCCCCAAAGGCTGGAAGCAGGCACCTGTGATTTGTCTGTTGTCACTCTCATGGCTTGAAGTTTTGGGGGCAACTCCTCAGGGTGATCAAGAAAGAACCTCGATCGAGAGTACTTATCCGTTCCCTCGTGGCCTTTTGTGAACCAGATGTTCGCACACTTGAAAAGTCATCCTAGGAGTGGATTGTGGGGGCCAGGGGTTGGGCGGGGGTTGTGTCTCCGTCCTGGGCCGCTGGGGTAGATCCTCAGTCACCCTGGTCCCCCTCCACGTCCCCCTTTCGAGGGGTGGGAAGGAAAGGACTGTTAGCATAGTGACCACAGAACCCAGGCTGCCTCGGAGGGACCCTGTGCTCAGAGTGTCCAGCATGTGACGTGCTGCTTGGTGGGGAGGTGATGGGACAAACGAACCGGTCGCTCCCTGTTAAGGGATGCCGATGACTCTCATCACAATGGGAAATTATCTTCTTTGTTTACTTACTTATTGTCTGCAAGGGCTCTGCTCTCTGGTCCCACCACCCTCGCCTGGGTCCTTGGGATTTACTGTTGTGTCTTTAGGTGACAGGCGGTAAGGAAATAGCAGAGCCTGATGGCAGACCCGTGAATGAATGAATGAGTGAATACTTGCATTTCACAGGCTAAAGGCAGAGACAGGGATTGTGAACAGATTGTCACAGTACAGGTGAACATGCTTAAGAATATGTGTATAAATCCGTGGCTAATCTAATCATGACAAATATTAACAGCTGGAACAAGGTGATAGGTAGAGCTAAGTTCATCTTGTGTGTTTGCTTTTTTCTTGGGGCAGGGGGGCCCACACCATTCAACTTGCAGAATCTTAGTTCCCCAACCAAGGATTGAACCCGGGTCCCCTCCAGTGGAAGCTCAGAGTCCTAACCACTAGACCTCCAGGGAATTCCCCTGAAATGTTTTGTTAAAAAAAGAAAAAAGAATGATTGCTGGGATTTCCCTGGCACTCCAGTGGGAAGCAGGGGACGTGGGTTCCATCACCAGCTGGGGAACTAAAATTCCGTGTGCCTCAAGGTGCGGCCAAAAAAAAAGAATGATTGCTGGAGAAATACAGATGAGTGGCGTCTAACCCTGAACTGAGAGTCAGGAAGGCTTCTTGGAGTAGGTTACCAGAAGTGGCCACTCTGAAAAAGCGCCCAAGATTCAGGGAATACCCACAGGGGGAGGGGGCAGAGAGGACAATCCAGCAGACAGGATCACGTGAGAGAGAACCTGGAGGCAGCAAAGAACAGAGTGTATGTGAGTCTGCACCCAGAGGACAGGGAGGGGGGCGGGACATACAGGTTGCAGGATCGGGATGGGGGGTTACCTGGATGAGCAGCTGGGCTTTATCCTGCAGGTAGCAGGGAGCCAGGGAATGTTGGGGCACCCATGTTGTATGAAAAACTAAGATGATTTCAATATAAAGCCTTTAATTAGTTCCTACAACCCTTACCTTTTTGCCTGGAGGATGGCTGGGGGTTTTGTACTTGTCTCAAAGAGTATCCTTCCCCAGTGGTTCAATGGTAAAGAACCCGCCTGCCAATTCAGAAGATGCGAGAGACTTGGGTTCGATCCCTGGGTTGGGAAGATCCCCTGGAGGAGGAGGAAATGGCACCCCACTCCAATATTCTTGCCTAAAAGAGAATGCCATGTACAGAGGAGCCTGGCAGGCTATCCATGCGATGGCAAAAGAGTGGGACACAACCAAGGGACTGAACAGAAGCAAGGAGTATCATTTTAGAGATGTGCTTTTTTTACTTAGCAAGTTTGTTTTCCTAAAATTGTCTAAAGGCATAAAATGGAGGCATTTTTCTCAGCGGGAGGTAAGGTAGAAGTAAGGTGGAGAATGACTGCTGATGACAGAAACCAAAGGAGGT